ATATAATTTCAAACATATATAATTTTAAAATAATGAATAAAAATTTTAAACAATAAATTATTTTAATCAAAGTGAAATTAATTTAAAATTTATTTTTTTCATTTTAAAGTTAAATAATATTTAATCAAATTTATTAATATATTTAATTTTTAACTCTAAGAACATTATTTTCAATAACGATAACATAAATATTTATAATTAAAATTTCTATTTTAGTTAAAAATGCAAAAGCATTTTAAGTTTTCTTGGAAACATAAAATGGATTTGCTTTTTGAAGAAAACACAAAACTATCTTGAGTTTTCTTTGAAAACTTAAAATCATTTAGGGGTTTCTTAGAAAATGCAAAATTGTTTTAGGTTTTCTTAAAAAACCTTCATTCATTTTGCATTTTCTTATAAATAAAAAATGAATTTGTGTTTTTTTTTTCTTTTCAAAATTTAATCTTAATTAGGTTTCCACTGTTTAATTAGTCTTTATATATACTCCTTTTTAAAAATTTGCCTAAATTTAATCTATCAGATAATTGGGATTAAAATGGCCCTATGCACAAATAATCCATGGACTATTTAACCTTTTTCTCCATACCATGATCACTAGAAAAATGATCATAAAATGAATGCAAGAACAACCACATATAGCATTAAAAAAAAGAAAGGAAACTCAAGTTAGGCAACAAGTACCTTGAATCTTAATTTTTCCTATGACTTTTTTGGGCTTTGATATGATTCCTTCGCTAGAAAGACCAGAAGATGGCTGTCCAAGAAGCTCCTCCTCTGACTGTAATAAGATTTTCTGCAATCTAAGAAAAGATCGAGGAAATTGAATACTAATTGAGATTAGGTATTTCCATAAGTTGGACATTGCAGGAACTTGCAATAAACGAGAAATATAATCCTCACATAGCATTAAAGATTAACAAGAAGCTGTAATTTAGAGGTGAATCTGTAAAACAATTAATAGAGATCCTACTCACAAGGAATTCTCGTGTAAAATGAGAATTGCTTCTCCTTTCAATCAACATTGAAGTTTTGCATTTTTATGAATATTTTCTTAACACTCGAATACTTTTGTGGTAATTCACTTCAATTTCCAGTAAAAAAATTATACAAGGTAGAATATGCTGCATATTTATCAGTTTAGACCAAGCCTATGAAAACTAAATTGTAGAAGTAGAAAATCTTAGCTGCATTTCAAGCAAAATAAGAAGTTTACATAATTGTCTATAATAAGTAACCAATTTACAATTTATCTGCAATGCATGATAAAAATCTAGAAATCAGATCTTACCCGAATGCTTTTCGCAGAAGAGCACATTCATTTTCCAAAAAAGAAGGTGCTTCCATGCACCCTCTTGCCCAGGAATGAAGGCATAGTCGAACACATGCATCATATGCCAGTACACAATGCCAGGGGCCTTGTCCACTGAAGTAAATTTAGTACAACAACATCAACAACAACATCAAGCCTATATCCCACTATTTGGGGTCAGCTACATACTTTTTTGGTATTGTAAGGAATCCTAGTAATCTACTCCTCCGTGATACTAATTAAATAATTATTTTTGTTTACCAAATCAGTAGTAAATTTAGTAAACAAAAATAATTATTTAATTAGTATCATGGAGGAGTAGGTTAACAGGATTCCATAAAATACCAGAAAAGTATCGAATTTTCCGTAAAATGAATATAAACATCTCATTAAGTAGTAACCTAGCATGAAACTGAGGAAGTCGAGTTGGTAAAGACCCAAACTTTCCAGTTTTTTGTAGACCGCTTGAAGAGCTCCTTCAAAACAGAAAAATTATAAGTTAATTATAGTTGAATTACATGATATAAGAACACTTTCAACAGTGATGACCAAATAACCATATCACTAACCTAGAATGGTTGTCAGGGAACTGGTTTTCATAATGGGCATTCGAAATGTCCTCCTTGATTAACAAACTATCCAAACTTTGTGAGATTGGAGGACATGATGTCTTTAAGGATGGCATGACCCCCTCAGCTTGGTCAATGTCCTTTCCATAACCATCAATTGGTGGTGCACTTGGGATGTTGGAGTGTTTTTCCTGTATATTCAGAAATATATAAAATAAATAATTCCATAATAACACACAAAAAAAAATTATTAGATTTGAAAATAGAGAATAAAGAGTAAATCACCCAATTGTGCAATCATTTTTCCCATTTGTGTCCTTCAATGTTGTATCAGCACAAAATATTGGAAGAACTCTTTTTGATTTATTAATATAGTAATTTTTTATTACAATGAGCCTGATATTGTTTGAATAAACTTTTGTTTAAATGACTCGATTTCAAATCATGAATGAAGCTGAGAGCCCTCTTTCTGATAACATAAATTTTATTGGCATTTAAGCAACTGGAGTCTATAAAAAACAAGAGGCTTGGAACATGATAATTGTAACAGAAACATAAATGGCAACATCATGATCCACACAATGCTAGAATCAATTCAGAGGGCATTACAGATATTCTCGTAGCACTGAATTACCAGCTAAATTTATTCTTTATCTGTAAGTTTTTGTGCTAAGCAATAAGTGTCATGAGGCCATGATGAAAAAAAAAATTCAGCTTATTCATCTGACTTCTTGCGACGATAGGCACGCGGTAAATCGGATTTACTAAATCCTTTCAGACAAAAATTGAGTCATCTGTTCTTTTATTTAGAGAAATTGGTAGCTCCAAACATTTGGGATAAAAAAAAAACAAAACAAAATCTAAAAAATAACAAATGAATCACTAATAACGGCCACCAGGTTAAGCCTTTAAAAAATTGATTTTAGGGTAAGTCTTCATGCTAACCTTTTCAGAATTAGAATTCACATCTCTGAAGTCACCAGTAGAATGAGAGCCCTGGAGGGTGCTGAAGTTACCACTAGAATGAGAGCCCTGGAAGGTGCAATTCACTCCCAAAGGCATACTATCGTTATCAGCAATGAAGTTTCCATCTTCTCTGCTCGCACTCTTTACGGCATCTCTCCCTTGTAAAGGAAAGTCATCTCCAGCAAACTTCCTTTCTACCTGCCCATTGAAGCCAAAGCTTCCACCGGAATCTGACCACTCCTCCTCCTCTTCAGCATGCTCATTCGCATTAACCGTTTTTCTCGACTGAAGAGGCCTCTGCTGTGCAGTATCTCGAGATGAACTATAACCGGAGTATCCATCACTTGATAAGTAATGCTGTTGAGGAACTGAATTTGTATATCTATAGTGACCATTAGAAACTCCATTGTAAAGCCTCCGCCTCGAGATGTCATCATGAGGAAAAGAAGAAGAAGATTCAGCAGAATGTCGACCAGCATAAATTTCCTCAGTATCGGAAGACTCGTCCATATCAGAATCAAAATCACTGTCTTCGTCCAAAGGCAGTCCATAAGAAACAGGAATTGATCCACTCGGAAGATGCCCACTTTTGAACTTTTCTGGAGGTGGAATACCTAGGCCCAAGCCACCTATTTTGAAGTCCTGACCGGCATATATTTTTTGTTTAGCGCTTGAAATTGCTGCATGCTCCTATATAGAGCGATTTGTAAGTTAAAGGTAAAAATGATTGTTTTCCTCAGAATTTAAGGTAAAAGAAGCACATCAAACAAAAAATTGGCAAACCCTACTTCTTGCACCCATCGAAGGGCTTGGGCATCCAGTCCTTCGGTGAACATTGTGGATTCTAGTGTAGGTTGAAATCAAAGTTCCTGCCCCAAAACTAATGCAAAAAATCATCTTCTTATACATTAAAAAACAAACAAATAGATAAAACTGCTATATTTCCCCAAATGCTCCTCCTAAGCTACAGCAAACTGAAAAGTAACGAAAGAGAAGAATCTCTCTCCAGAGCAAGAAACCCTAGATTACTCATTCAAATTAGTACGTAAAATTATACCTTTAACGGGAGAATTGGCAAGGATTTCGAGGATCACAACAGGAGCCAAATTTTCATTTAACCGCTGAGCAATTCGACTCGAGGTCTTCACTTCAGATTCACAGAGGTCTCAAAAATGAAATCCAGGATCGGAGATAAAGAGCGAGGGAGAGGCAGCCAAGGCAGGCAGCTGAATTGGAATTTTGAAGAGAAAGTGAACGTTGCGACGACGACAATGGATGCTGACGTGGCAGGCGGACAGGTTCAAATTTTGCAACGGTCGAACGATAGTGCGCAAGAGGAGAGCCAGCCAGGCAGAGGGGTCGGCGTCTCCTCCGCTGAGTGCATACTGCGTTCTCCGAATACCGGTCCAACTGAAGAAGAGAGTGACACGTGTCAAAATACTTCCTTCTGTAAACTTAGTACACGTTAGATCAGAGATTTCACGTCATCCGATGGTATCGGATATGTTTTCTATGCATGCTTGTTGGCTTCACCTTAGTCAATTGAGCCACTGTAATTCATGGATGGTAGTTTTGGACTCGGTCTTCGGTCATTGGGAAGACCCCACCCTTCCCACGTATCCTCAATTTTTGTTTTGAATTTTAACGGTCTTCTAGCGAAATTATTATGTAGGGCTGTATTAAAGTCAATGGAAAGAAATTATTCTCTGCGCATATCAGATCGTTTAGAGAAAAATGAGAGCGTGTCACGTCATCCGGTACATAGTAATACACAACAACAGTAGTACACATAAAAAGAGGTGACGTGGCGCTCTCATTCGTCTTCGGACGCCGTCCAGTGTCGGCACCAAATACTTTTCTAATCAGGACGTATTATATCATATCACTAATATGTTGTGTATCATTATTGTGTACTGTTGTGTAATTATTTATATTGCTTATTTTTACATTTAAAATTTATAAGTGTTTATATAATATTATAATGAATTTTGGGGTTGTTTGATTGGTTGTTTTTAAAATGTTTAATTTTATAAATTACTATTTACATTAAATTCTCATAGATATTTGACAAATAGAATGATTTTATCTATGCTTACAATTTATTAGCATTTATAAAATATTTCAATAGGCTTTTTGGTTTTTTGGTTTGGTGTTCCTAAAAAATCATGTATTTTAAAAATATGTGGGCTTATGTTATTGGATATTTTTTTTTAAATAGATGCATTTTATAAAAACATAGCAATTGAAATACATACATTTTGGAAATAAAAGAGTTGTTAGATTTAATGGAAATTAAATATTTTAATTAATTTATTTATTTATTATTATACATTTTAAATGCATTGAAATGCAATAGAGTAGGCTCGGGTGACGGCCGCAGGCTGCAGCTTTCCTTGTATTTGTAATTCATCTGATTTTTATGAGTCCCATATTCATTAAAAAATTCGCATATTGAGATATTTCAAATCTCCAATAATAACAATATATATTTTGTATTAGATTTATTTTGAACCAAATGGAAAACAATATAAAATTAATAAATTTATTTTACACTTTATACTTGCAACCAATTATTGGCAAACATGAAAATCACAATCATCCTTCAAGGATTAATCAAGAAACGTAATCTGGATGTATTTTTTAGATGAGTTTGTGCGAGTTGCTTGCATAACACTACAGAAAAGTCAAGTATTTGCGACAGAAAAATCAGCCGAAAAACAATTTAAATCAGTCGCAAATTTTGTTTTATGGTATATTCACGTCCGATGGCCGGATGCTTCTATCACAAAATACAATACACGCTCGTCGCTTCTACGTTTGCAACGAAAATTCTGCCGCAAATTCGTCAGAAACCTGTAGCAAGTTTGCGGCGAAATTTTCGACGCAAGTCCCTCACAAATAAAAAAGAAAATACTTGTGCCGCAATTTTCGTGAAAAAATTTCCGCCCCAAATCGCTGCCTTTCCTGTAGTGGAAGACTTTGCCGCTCTTGTCTTATAGAGAGAGATATTACCACATTTGGGCATTTGAATGCATGAGAGTTAGTTGAGCAAATGCTAACAGGTAAATATGACATGATATTTCAAAAACAAAACTCTAAAAGAATATATGTTATGGTATCATGATTAGGAAAATATGTAGAACAACCATGAAGCTAATGGAAGAAGTTTTGTTCTCATTTTCTGATTATTGAACTAGAAACAAGAGTAAAAGGTGAAAGCTTTGAAATTGGGATATTTTTTTACCATGATATTGATAAAAGTTCGGGCAAAAATCAAATGATAATGAGAAAACTATCGCACCAAAGATCTCAATCACAATACGGACAAGTTTATGTTATTCAATATGATAAAATTCTCCTGTCTATGATCATATAGAGACCAAATATTCTCTAAGCTTTAAAAGACGTACATAAAGAGATTACATCACATATAAATAAAAATAAATATACTACTTTTTTGTTTTTAATGACTAAGAAGGAGCAATTAAAATCATGTGTTGTGAAGATGAGAGTTGAACGTGGAGACTAAAGCATGGATGATAATTCACGGCCTTCTCTTCTTTTTTCTATTGTGAAAACTTCTTTATGTCTTCCCTTCACTCATACTCTTCTATCTTTTTTCTCTTTATTTGCTTTTGATTGTGGGAAGGTTTACAAGGGAGAATTACATGAGTTTATATAGTAGAATATTCATCTTCTAACATAGTGATCAACTACTATGCAATATATTTGTAGCTTTCGTCATAAATTTGTGTGGTAACCTTCATTTAATATTTATGATAGCCTTCATTTAGGACTTTATAACAACCACCATTTAGGATTACATGATAACCTCAAGTTAGAATTGTCATATTATTATTGAAGCGAGCCTCTATTTTCAATAATTATAAATTATGATCAAATCTTATTAGGATATAATTAATGAATGCTTTAACTACACACTAAACAATCTTTCACTTGGAGCCTAAATTATCAATTAACTAGCATGGTGATTTTATTTGAACACTTCTCTAAGCAAAACCAACATGCCATCATTCATGAAGGTTAATCAGAGTTTAACAAGGCATTAATTTTTCACTTGATATCACTTTTTTTGTGAGCATATTAGTGGATTCTATTTTGTTTTAATTATGATAAAGATATCAGCCTTAAGCAAGCTGCTTGTGTAGATGTATCTGAGTTATATGTGGTTTATCCATGAGTGAATGATAGTAATTTTTACAAAGTGACACTACAGGAAAAATGGCCTATACCGGCGGTTTTAATCGGCGGTTTTAACCGGCGGTTTTAACCGGCGGTTTATAGGCCGTCGGTATTACCGATGGCTCCGCCGGCGGTTACGCCGTCGGACTCTAACGACGGCCAAATCGACGGCTTAGCTACGATACACCGTCGGTATTACCGACGGTCTCTAAACCGCCGGTACACCGCCGGATATCAACATTAACCGGCGATTATCCGGCGGTCTAAACCGCCGGTGATAAGTGATTTTGTTCCGGCGGTCTAGACCGCCGGATATCAGCGTGAACCGGCGGGTTTCCGGCGGTCTGAACCGCCGGTGATAAGTGATTTTGTTTCGGCGGTCTAGACCGCCGGAAAACCGCCGGTAAAAGCCCTAATACGAGCCCGCTCG